CAGAGATTGACATGTTGTGTCTTCGTTCTCGTTGGTTTTGAAGAACATGTTTATTTCTGCCTTCATTTCATTGTTTATCCAGTCAACATTCAAGAGCAAGTTCAGTTCCCATGAAGCTGTACAGTTCTCAGTTTCTTAATTCTGAGGTCTAACTTAATTGCACTGTGGTCTGAGAGACTGTTCGTTATGATTTCCGTTCTTTTGCATTTGCTGAGGAGTGATTTACTTCCAATTGTGGGTCAATTTTAGAGTAGGTGTCATGTGGTGCCGAGAAGAATGTATATCAGGAGTGGAGAGTTCTGTAAATGTCTATTAGGTTTGCTTGGTACAGGTCTGAGTTCAAATCCTGGATATCCTTGTTAATTTTCTGTCTGGTTGATCTGTCTAATATTGACAATGGGGTGTTAAAGTCTCCCACTATTATTGTGTGGGGGTCTAACTCTCTTTGTAAGTCATTAAGAACTTCCCTTGTGTATCTGGGTGCTCCTGCATTTGGTGCATTTATATTTAGGATTGTTAGCTCTTCTTGTTGCATTGATCCTTTTACCATTACATAATGTCCTTCTTTGTCTCTTTTGATCTTTGTTGCTTTGAAGTCTATTTTATCAGAGATGAGAATTGTTACTCCTGCTTTTTTTTGCTCTCTATTTGTTTGGTAAATCTTCCTCCATCCCTTTATTTTGAGCTTTTGTGTATCCTTGCATGTGAGATGGGTTTCCTGGATATAGTACACCGATGGGTTTTGTCTTTTTATCCAATTTGCCAGTCTGTGTGTTTTGATTGGGGCATTTAGTCCATTTACATTTAGGGTTAATATTGTTGTGTGTGAATTTGATACTGCCATTTTGATGCTAGCTGACTGTTTTGCCTGTTAGTTGCTGCAGATTCTTGATTATGTTGATGCTTGGTATGTTTTTGGAGTGGCTGGTACTGGTTGTTCCTTTCTATGTGTAGAGCCTCTTTCAGGAGCTCTTGTAAAGCAGGTTTGGTGGTGATCAAATCTCTGAGTACTTGCTTTTTCGTAAAGGATTTCATTTTTCCTTCACTTATGAAGCTTAGTTTGGCTGGGTATGAGATTCTGGGTTGAAAGTTCTTTTCTTTAAGGATGTTGAATATTGGCCCCCAATCTCTTCTGGCTTATAGGGTTTCTGCTGAGGGATCTGCTGTGAATCTGATGGGCTTCCCTTTGTGGCTAACCCGACCTTTCTCTCTGGCTGCCCTTAGCATTTTCTCCTTCATTTTAACCCTGGTGAATCTGACGATTATGTGCCTTGGGGTTGCTCTTCTTGACGAACATCTTTGTGGTGTTCTCTGTATTTCCTGGACTGGAGTATTGACCTGCCTTGCTAGGTTGGGGAAGTTTTCCTGGATAATATCCTGAAGAGTATTTTTCCAGCTTGGATTCATTCTCTTCATCACATTCAGATACACCTATCAAACATAGATTAGGTCTTTTTACATAGTCCCACATTTCTTGGAGACTTTGTTCATTCCCTTTTACCCTTTTTTCTCTAATCTTGCCTTCTTGTTTTATTTCATTGAGTTGACCTTCGACCTCTGATATCCTTTCTGCTGCTTGGTCAATGCGGCTGTTGAAACTTGTGCATGTTTCGTGAAGTTCTTGTGCTGTGTTTTTCAGCTCCATCAATTTACTTATATTCCTTTCTAAGTTGTCCATTCTCGTTAGCCTTTCATCATATCTTTTTTCAAGGCTCTTAATTTATTTGCATTGGGTTAGAGCATTTTCATTTAGCTCACAGAAGTTTCTTATTAGCCACCTTCTGAAGCCTGATTCTGTCATTTCATCATACCCATTCTCCATCCAGCCTTTTTTCCCTTGCTGGTGAGGAGTTGTGACCTCTTATAGGAGGAGACTTGTTCTAGTTTCGGGTGTTTTCATCTTTTTTGTGCTGGTTTCTTCCCATCTTTGTGGATGTATCCACCTGTCGTCTTTGTAATTGCTGACTTTCAGATTGTGTCTCTGAGTGGACATCCAGTTTGTTGATGATGAAGTTATTTCTGTTTTTTAGGTTTCCTTCTAACAGTCTGGCCCCTCTGCTGTAGGACTGCTGAGGTCCACTCCAGGCCCTGCTTGCTTAGGGATCACCTGCAGTAGCTGCAGAACAGTAAGGGTTGCTACCAGTGTCTTCTTCTGCTATCTTTGTCCCAGAAGGACACCCACCAAATGTCAGTCTGATCTCTCCTTTACGAGGTGGACTCTTTGGATATATGGGGGTCAGGGAGCTGCTTGAGGAGAAAGTCTGTCCTTTATAGGAGCTCAAGTGCTGAGCTGTGAGCTCTGTTGTTCATTCAGAGCTGCTGGGCAGGTACATTTAGGTCTGCTGCAGCAGAACTCATAAACCTTTTTTTCTTCCCAGGTGCCCTGTTCCAGGGATTTAGGGCTTCAGTGCTTTATTTTGAGTTTACGTTGTGCTGCTGCCTTTTTTTCAGGGCTGCCCTGCCCAGCAAGGAGGCAGCCTAGTCACTGTCTGCCTGAAGAGGCTTTGCTGAGCTGCTATGGGCTCCGCCCAGCTGCCATGTGAACTTCCCTGTAGTCCTGTTTATATGGGTGTAGTTAGAACTGCCTCAGCAATGGTGGCCCACCTCTGTAATGGCGGACTCTCTCTATAATGGCAGGTTGCCTTGGCAATGGCGGGTTGCCTTGGCAGTGGTGGGTTGCCTCAGCAATGGCGGACTACCTCTGTAGTGGTGCAGTGCCTCTGTAATGGCGGACGTCCCTCCCCCACGGAGCTGGACCATCCCAGGTTCAGCTGTGCTTGCTCTGAGACTCTCAACCCAGAGCGTTCCAATTGCTGGTTTTTTTCTTGTTTTTTTTTTGTTTTTTTGTTGTTGTTTATTTTATGTGGGGGTGGGACCAGCCGAGCCTGATTACCTGGCTCCCTGCCTCTGAGCCCTTTTTTTTTAGTTGAATGGTCGACTGTCTCCCAGGTCTTCCAGTCGCCTGTTGAAAAGGCACCAGGATCTGTGTGATTTCCCAGGCGACTCACTGCACCAGCTGAAATAGCGGTGCTGAGATTCATGGCACTTATTTTGCCTGGGAATCTCCTGGCTTGGTTCCCTGTTTCAGTCCCCTTTTTAATCAGTTGAATGGGTGACTGTGCCTTCCCGGGGCTCCAGTCGCCAGCTAAAAGGGCACCCAGACCAGTGTATTTTGTACGGAGAACCACCGCGTGCTTTGTCGCGCCAACAAAAACAGCCCCGCTGGCGACCCGTGGTGCTCCTCCACCTGGGTATCTCCTGGTCTGTGGGCAGTAAAAATCCATCTGGAAATGTGGCGTCCACTCACACTCTGCACTTTCACTGGGAGCTGTTCCTAAACGGCCATCTTTGATAAGTATTGTAGCTCTCTTACTTCTTATCTTTCTTAGTCCTTAGTAAAACAAAAATGATAATTTCAGTGTAGGTACCTTATGATTTTCATAGTCTTACTGTACATGCTTAGAAAACCACAACAGATTTTGATTGCAAAGGAGTAGCTGTTTCTTTGATAAATAAATGATAGTCTTAATATTAATGCATTATTATTTCCCTGGTCTTTCTCATCTTGTGGTTCGCATACAATTCCAATTCAGTTTCTCATTCTTCTCTGCCCTACTCTGAGGATAGTAAACTCAAGAAATGTTGGTAGCTGTTAGTCTGCTTATTGAATTGTGTGTCTTTGAAGGAGGCAGTCTGGTAGCTAGTTTAGAGCAGTTAAAACAGAGTCATTGCAAGGAGAATATAATGGCAGGAGTGACTCTCCTCCCTCATGAATGTTACCTGAATGAGTGTTCAGAAGACACAATAAAAAACTACAGCTATGCAATCTGTAACTGTGGCTTCAATTTAGCTTTCTGTTGTAGAGATTATATTACTGTATTTCATTCCCCAAGCCCCAGTAGTCATGAAAGGATGTATTTCTGTTAACATCATAACTTTTGTAATTTATTGCTATTTTGTTCTTTATCAGCAAATGCCATTGAAATGTTCCTAAATTATACTTAATCTTGTTGCTCCATCATTTCAGTGTTTCTCCTCTTCTGTTTTTCTATTGGTGAAATTTTAACTTTCCCATTGTTAAATAATTATAAATATTTTCAATATTCTGCATGACAGAGCTTGCACTTTTTATTGAGGAGTTCTACCATAAGTTGATTGATCAGTTTGTTATTTTGTTATAATTCCTCTCATGATGTTTGTTCTTTTTATCCACTACTATTATGTGTTCTTGAACACAAAACTTCACTTTTACATGACCTAATATCACTTGCTACCAGCTTTGGATTTTGTTTTTCTTGCAGAGTCTTAAATGTTCCAAAAATAAATCTCTCTCTTTATGTTTATCTATCTTGTCTTTTTTTCAATCTTTTCTGAAATGAAACATAAACAGTTAAATTCCTTGACCCTAACTAAAGCAGCCCTGTAAGTCTTTTGCTACCCTACTCTGTCTTCTTTACAGCGCTTATTATCATATGGAATGATTTGCTTTTATACTAAGCATCTGTCTACACTCCCCTACCACCAGCACTAGTAAGTTTCTTGAAGGCAAGACTCTGTCTTGGACATACCTGGAAAGGTGTGTGTGGCATGTTGTAAGTAAATGTTTGGCTACTGACTCACTGTCTGTCTGCAAAAAGAAAGAAGACTAAAGCTATATGTGTAACTTTCAATGTATGTATCATAGTTGGGATTATTTTGTGGACTGATCTTTTTAATCTGTCATACATTTTGAAGAATAACAGCACTATGAGTACATCTACACATATACTATATTGATATTTTCAATAATCTACATGACAGAGCTTGCACTTTTTATTAAGGAGTTCTGTCATATAAGGTAATTGATCAGTTTGTCAAATAATTACCATGACAATATGACTTTTTCCTACAATGACATTTTGAGATTGAAAATATCATTTGGAAGTTAAAAAGAGCACACCCTTTTTTGAAGTGAATGTTTTCCAGAAATAAAGCCTTGCCAATACCTTGTCGTTATCCAGAAACCAAGGAAGAAAGCTTTGGAAAGTTCTAGCAACAGTGAGAGTGATTCAGGCACATCGTCAGACACCTCAAGTGAAGGCATGAGTAGTAGTGATTCAGATGATCTAGAAGAAGATGAAGAGGAAGAAGATCAAAGTATTGAAGAGAGTGAAGATGATGATTCTGATTCAGAGAGTGAAGCACAACATAAAAGTAACAACCAGGTATAATTTTTTTCATGGACAGTATCCAGACATATTCATATTTAGGAATTAATTGGTTTATCTTGACTCTCAAAGTCTGTAGTTTTAAAGTTAATCATTATTCTGAGCTCATACTTTTGCACAAGAAATAATATAAGATGGATAAATATTTTTAAAGGGACATGTGGTATTTATTTTACTAATTTTTAGATTTTTAGATATTATCATAAGGCATTAATAACACTTTTAAAGCACGCTTTATCTCTAGGTTTTACTGCTTTATATTCTTTGTCTTAATAGATGTTAGGAAGTTACCTTTTCATTTTTATTTCTAGGTGCTATTACATGGTATTTCAGACCCAAAAGCAGATGGACAGAAAGCAACCGAAAAAGCCCAGGAAAAAAGAATACACCAGCCATTACCTCTAGCGTCTGAATCCCAGACTCACTCATCATTCCAATCCCAGCAGAAGCAGCCTCAGGTTTTGTCACAGCAGCTTCCATTTATTTTCCAAAGCTCTCAGGCAAAGGAGGAATCTGTGAACAAACACACCAGTGTAATACAGTCTACGGGATTGGTGTCCAATGTGAAACCTTTATCTTTGGTAAATCAAGCCAAAAAGGAAACTTACATGAAACTCATAGTTCCTTCTCCTGATGTTCTTAAAGCAGGGAATAAAAATACCTCTGAAGAATCTAGTTCATTGACCAGTGAATTGAGATCCAAACGGGTGAGTTACAAATGATTTATATAAGAATTTTATTATTAAAAAAAGATATAGCTGCTATATTATCTTATACAAGTTTAAATTAAATTATACTCTCATTTTAATACTTTCTTAATGTTCAGGAGTAGAATATGTACATCAGATAATAAATTGCTCTGATTTTATATTCACATATGTATCTGTTTAACATATTTTTGGCAATGCAATCATGTCATTCCAGATCCCCTACAACCCATCCCTAAGGTAAGCCCCACTCCCAAGATCTAATGATTTAGAAATAAGGGGATAGGCCAGGTGCAATGGCTCTCACACTTGTAATCCCAGCACTTTGGGAGGCCGATCACCTGAGGCAGGCAGATCACCTGAGGTCAGGAGTTCAAGAACAGCCTAACCAATATGATGAAACCCCATCTCTACTGAAAATACAAAAAAATTAGCTGAGTGTGGTGGCATGCACCTGTAATCCTAGCTACTCTGGAGGCTGAGATAGGAGAATTGCTTGAACCTGGGAGGCAGAAGTTGCAGTGAACTAAGATCATGCCACTGCACTCCAGCCTGGGTGACAGAGTGAGACTCTGTCTCAAAAAAAGAAAAAGAAAAAAGGGGATAAATATGTTTGAATAAGAAAAGCTTCAAAATTCCTTGGATTTCAAATTAGTGTCTTTTTTTCCCTAATATCAATATATTCTTTTTTTTTTTTTTTTTGAGACAGGATCTTACTCTGTGGCCTAGGCTGGAGTGCAGTGGCACGATCTCAGCTCACTGCAACCTCCCCATCCTGGGTTCAAGGATACTCATGCCTCAGCCTTCCTAGTAGCTGAGACTACAGGCACGTGCCAACACACCTGACTAATATTTGTATATTTAGTAGAGACAGGGTTTCACCATGTTGGCCAGGCTGGTCTCAAACTCTTGACCTCAAGTGATCTGCCTGCATCAGCCTCCCAAAGTGCTGGGATTATAGGCATGAGCCACCGCATCCGGCCAAATATATTCTTTTTTTAGAGAAATGAATTCAAATAATTTCCCATTATAGTCCTAGAATTTATAAGTTTTAAGTGTAAAAACCTTTCATAAAGAATCACCTTTCTGGTCAGAGATGGTGGTGGTTGACACCTGTAAGCCCAGCACTTTGGGAGCCAAGGCAGGAGGAATATTTGAGGCTAGGAGTTCAAGACCAACCTCTGCAACATAGTAAGACCCTGTCTCTACCAAAAAAAAAAAAAAAGAGAGAACATTTTCCTTTGCCATTCTTAATGAATTATGTGAAATATTAACTACTACTTATACAAACACTGGAACTACTCTTTAGAGAATTTTTTCACCTTTGTTTTTCTTGCTGTTGATTTTACTTCATAGACTACATTCAGATTCTGTTGTATGCATTATGTTTGCATACAATATCCTGTCTCATGGTTACAAATATTATTATTAAGCATCCTAATTAGATAACACTTGTAGAACATTTAATGTTTGCCAACCATTGTTCTAATTGCTGAACATACATTAACTCCTCTGTAATAACATGTGTGAGTGCTACTAATATTATCCTCATTTACAGATGATAAAATTGGACATTCACATTAGACTCAACTCTGAAAGATGTTATCTTCTCTTTGTCAGTACCTGTTACTGAGTTAGAAGTACCTACCTGCATCCCCCATGAGTTCGTTATTTTCTTTTTTTTCCTTTTTTTTTTTTTATAGTTCATTGTTTTCTTAAAGGTTATTAGTCATAGAATCCTTCAGTACCCTTATACTGAAGGCAATCTAACTTAAATCCATATAGATTGATTGAATACATATACTAGGATTGGAATTTTGTAGGTCTTATGTCAGCTTTCTTTTATTGACATTCATGTGGAGGACTTTTTGTGATCTGCAGACTGAGGTAGGGGTGGGGGAGCAAGAGCTTGGAAGTAGGACAGACATTGGAACCCATCTCTTCCCACACTATTTTCCACATGGTTATATTAAAGCAGCAAGAGATTTGTTACTATACAGGTCTCAATTTTCTCTTCATCTCCTTTTTGCACACCACCCATTTTAAAAAGGATAATGTATGTACTATAAAGGAATAATTGGAATAAAATATGTTTTTATTATAAAGTAATTTTTGTCTATTCTTAAAAACTTGTTGGTGTCAATATATGGGAAGTGATTCTTCAGAATTACATTGAGGAATAGTTGGAGAAAATTAAAATATAAAACTAAAGGGACTTTTGTTTTCATGGCCTTTTGGTCCTATATATTTAGAAGGAAAACTTACTACCTATAAAGAAGATTATAAAATTATTACATAACATAATTGTATTCTAACAGATAAAAACACACTAATTTTTCTGCCGAAAATTTAAATCTTGTATGTATTAAAGATTTTATGTAAGAATTTTGCTATAAAATCACATTGAAAAGGTATATCTATTTAATATAATTTTCCATAATTAACTGAATAATTACTAATTAAGCACTTTCTCTTTGTAAGGTATTGCCTTAGGTACAAATATTGTGACAATTTTTATTTGCAAAGAATTATCTTAATAATTTTCTAAACTAATACAGTTTAGGTATTAAGATAAAAAGTTTACATTGCTTATTGCTTTGTTAGTACTGCTGCTTTAAAATATTTAATAAGTATTTCATGCCAAGTGCAGTGGCTCATGCCTGTAATCTCAGTACTTTGGGAGTGTGGTGGATCACCTGAGGTCAGGAGTTTGAGACCAGCCTGGCCAACATGGTGAAATCCCTAAAAATACAAAAACAAATTAGCTGGGTGTGGTGATATGCACCTGTGGTCCCAGCTAATTGGGAAGCTAAGGCAAGAGAATCACTTGAACCCAGGAGGTAGAGGTTGCAGTGAGCCAAGATCCTGCCACTGTACTCCATCCTGGGTGACAGAGCAAGACTGTATCTCAATATAATAATAATAATAAAATAAAATATTTAATAAGTATTTCATATGACATTTCATCAGCATTTACACTTGCGAAATCTCTGTCACAAATCTTTGCTGATTTGAGTGTTAGGAGCCCAGGTCTGATGCTGACAACACTGCTGATGTTAATTTCAAAGCAGTCATTTTCAATGCAGAATTTTACCTTAGATTAAGAAATTCAGTTCCTTCTGTTAACTCAAGAGATTTTAACAATTCTACTGCTGTTTATTTTTATTTAATATTTTAATTATAGTAACTTGATAAAATTCATTTTATTGTTTTCACGGAGATTCTAATAGTTAAATAATTTTTTGTTTCTTTATTGACATAAATTTTATGTTTTATAAATTAATCTTTTCCAAGAAAATTGTATTTTTCTAAATTGTTTACTCTGGAATGTTAGTGTGTAAAAGCAAGCTAAAGTAGATCCCACAGGATGTTGAATGTCTATTTTCACCAGCTTAGTATCTTAAATCTTTGCTTCAAGGAAGTTCTTCTTGCTCAGGAAGTTATTCATTCAGCAACCTAAAATTGTTTTTTGAGTACATACCAAGTATAGGGCTCTGAATAATGTCTTAGGAAGACCATAAAGGTGAATAAATAAGTGCTAATTCATTATTCAGGATGTTAACTTACCTCCTTAGAGATTTAAGGCATGTGGGCATATGCTGTGTGTACTAAAATGTGTTATGGCATAAGAGTTCATATGCTCGCCAACTTAGAGCTGTTTGACTTATGATCTTTCAACTTTACAATGGCATGAATGCTATGCTATACACATTCAGTAGAAAGTGGTATAATAGTCCCTTGATGCTGGGCAGCAGCAGTGAGCCACAGATCCTGGTCAGCCACGTGATCACTGGGCAGACAACCGATACTCTACAGTGTACTGTGTTGGTAGGTAATTTTGCTCAGTTTTAGGCGAATAAGAGTGTTATCAGCACATTTAAGGTAGGCTAGACTAAGCTATGATATTTGGTAGGTTAGGTGTATTACATCTATTTTTGACTTAACAATATTTTCAACTTTCAATGAGTATATGGGGAAGTCACCCATGCTAAGTTGAGGAACATCTATATAAAGAGGTAAAGGAGTGCAAAGGATAGAGGCAAAGAATGCTTCTGGCTGGGAAATCTGGCAAGCTTCTTGGGTTGGATCTTGAAGAATAAACAGTATTTTGTCAGCTTGAAAATTCCGAAAGGAGGCTAATTCATGCAAAGATTATGGTTTCAGGTTTGGATTATTATGAAAATTGAAGCAACGGTAAAGAGGGAGTAGTCAAAAGGCATATAATTTTTGAGGGGGAAAAACTAATTAAATTTTAATTAGATATAGCCAAGATGTAGCAACAAATTTAAATCATGATATACAGGTAACAACAGTCATAGCTGTTGCTACTTTTACAGCACTTGTATATCATGATTTAAATTTGTGTATGATATGATAGCTGTAATTTGGTTTTAGATATTGAAAGCAAATAAAAGCAATCTTTGTTTTTTGGCACATTTTGTTATGTTTTTTAACTTATGTTTCAACAGGAACAATATAAACAGTCATTCCCATCACAATTAAAGAAACAAGAGTCATCTAAGAGCCTGAAGAAGGTTATTGCAGCTTTGTCAAATCCAAAAGCAACCTCTAGTTCACCAGCACATCCAAAACAAACATTAGAAAACAACCACCCGAATCCATTCTTGACAAATGCACTTTTAGGTAATCACCAACCAAATGGAGTTATTCAAAGTGTCATTCAAGAAGCTCCTCTAGCACTTACTACCAAAACTAAAATGCAGAGCAAGATTAACGAGAACATTATTGCTGCAAGTAGCACCCCTTTTTCCTCACCTGTAAATTTGAGTACAAGTGGCAGAAGAACCCCTGGCAATCAGACACCTGTAATGCCCTCTGCCTCTCCCATCCTGCATAGTCAAGGGAAGGAAAAAGCAATTAGCGATAATGTAAACCCAGTAAAAACACAGCATCACCCACATCCTACAAAATCTTTAGTGGAACAATTCAGAGGAACAGATTCAGACATTCCCAGTAGTAAAGATTCTGAAGATTCAAATGAGGATGAAGAGGAAGATGATGAGGAAGAAGATGAGGAAGATGATGAAGATGATGAATCTGACGACAGCCAATCAGGTTATTTTCATTTTAAAATTTATTTTTCTAAATGCTATCTGAATCAAACATTTTAAAGGGCTTCTTAATTCAGACTTAAAATCAGTGTCATTTACTATGTCTCACACAGCTTTTTGCATTTCTATAATGAGCTTGTAAAATACAGGAGTAATTGATACTGGAAATCCTAAGTCAGGTTCTCAGCATGTTATTCATTTGACATTAAATAAATAATCACTTTAGAGTGAATACAAATGATACATAATTAAGACATAATTTCATCAACTTGGTTAATTTTTATTTCATTTAGGACCACTCTTTTTTTATTTCTTCTGCTACTTGTTAAAATATATCACCAGCTGTTTTGAGAAAAGGTAAAATTATAGTCACAGTCATTCAGGAGGTACCAAAAACCTAAATCACTATAAATGTCCAACAATAACACAGAATTCATTAAATAGCACATACAGTACTCTCTGATTTAATTTTGAGTCACTTTCTACTTTTTTTTGTTTTTTGCTGGGTTGGGGGTTAACTTCTTTGTATTTTTATTTTCCTTCCCTCTCCTCATTCCACAGAAGATTGAAAACATAAAATACAAAAGAGCTTAAATTGTGAATACACAAATTAAATACACATTATAAATGTTTGTCGATTTGTTACTGGTCAGCTACAGATTCAAGTAATTATTTTAGCAGCTAATTGAACAGGAAAATATACTCAGATATACAATTTAAAGTATCTGTAAGTTAAAAACAAATTTTGTGCTCAGGGTAAGAACCACTCTTCCTGGGGTTCCCATAAAACAACTTTGCATGATCATAAATATCAATATTCTTAACTTTTAAAACTAATTTTTATAATAAATTTCAATATAGGCAAATAGTGTCACACAAACCAGAATTCCACAGGACCTATTGTTCTGGGAACTATGAGGAAACAGTCTAAGTATCACTGTTATGTTTATTAAGTTTAATCTAGTAATAGATTTTACATATCTAGAGGAATGGATGCATCATGCATAGGATTATATAGCTAGAACAAACAAATTATTAAATTATCCTACTATAATTACTTCTGTAAGCCTAATGTTTTGAGAGGCCTGAAAAGCCCGAAGTCTTGTATGTAAATAGAAAAACTGCAGCCAAAAAACCAAGAATCTCCTGTTGAAAATTGTTTTGTTTTACTCCAAAGCCCAAATGAAAGTATGATGGTAGTTCCAGATTTCTCTTTCTCATATTCAACCTATATACTTCTTAAGCCATTGGAATCTGTTAGTGTGAATAGTCAGTTTAATTCCCTCTTTTACTTTAGTTTCTCCATTAAATAAAAAATTATTAAGAAGCCATTAAGCATAATTCATGTGAATAGTGTCACATGAGAACTGTTTTATGATTAAAGTGTTGAGTAAAACTTACACTTTAAATTTTTTGTTGAAGATTTATAGCCTACATATATTATTCTCAAATAGCTTATAATATTTACTCTTCAGGAAAAGTGCTCATTTGAGTTCTTATTCACAGGTGCTGGTTCCTGAACTAGTCCATTTAGATACAAACTGCAAATTATTGGTGATTATCTAGTTATAATATACAAATGCTTCTTTTACTTCCCAGAATCAGATAGTAATTCAGAATCAGATACAGAAGGATCAGAAGAAGAAGATGATGATGATAAAGACCAAGATGAATCAGATAGTGATACTGAAGGAGAGAAAACTTCAATGAAACTGAATAAAACAACTTCCTCTGTCAAAAGCCCTTCCATGAGTCTCACAGCTCACTCAACACCTCGTAACCTCCACATAGCAAAAGCCCCAGGCTCTGCTCCTGCTGCCTTATGTTCTGAATCCCAGTCACCTGCTTTTCTTGGTACATCTTCTTCCACACTTACTTCAAGCCCACACTCTGGTACCTACACTTTATTTTTATTATTCTAAAGTAGAAGTCAGCCCATAGCAAGAATTTTTATTGGTAGAGTGTTCTGGAGATGATCTCATGGGAATCAAGATTAAAGCTAGATTTTAGGTTGGCTAAGGAAGGTCAGCATGTATTTTCAAAGGATATGACCCATTACCTGGTCTTTTTTTCCCCCTGAGCTTCCAGTTTAAGGATCTGACTGATGACAGTTCTTTTGTTTTTGAATCTTTTCTGCTTTTGTGTTCAGTTTGTGCTTCTAGAATATAGAATTTAACTGACAATTGGACTTTTTTGTACAGTTAACCCTTGAACAATGCAGGGTTTAGGGGCACTGGCCCCTAAACAATTGAAAATCTGTATGTAACTTTTGTTTCCTCAAAAACTTAACTACTGTTAGCCTACTGTTGACCAGAAGCCTTACTGATTACATGAATAGTCAATTAATATATGTTGTATGTGTTATATACTGTATTCTTACAATAAAGAGAAAAGAAAAATGTTAGAAAGTCATAAGCAAGAGAAAATGTGTTTACTCTTCATTACGTGGAAGTGGATCATCATAAAGTTATTCATTCTCATCTTCATGTTGAGTAGTCTGAGGAAGAAGAGGATTGGTCTTGCTGTCTCATGGGTGACAGAGGCGGAGGAAAATCTGAATCTAAGTGGAATCACACAGTTCAAACCCACGTTGTTCAAGGGCCAACTGTACTTTATAAAAAAGTTCACTTGGTTACTTAAGATGCTATCTGCCCAACATGTAGCCAATGTCATTTCTATTAGTGAGTAGCATTCTTATTCCATTAACATGCCATGTCTTTTTTTTTTTTTCTATTTGACTTTTTATAAATTCCTAGAGGTCTTCATTTAATATTTCAAAACTGCTTTCAGTTCTCATTCAATGTCTACAAAAATAAATGTATATAGTAAAATATATTGCTGTTTTACTTATTTCACTCTCCTCTTATCAGTTTCTAGCTTTGCTTTTATTTACCACATACCAACCAGTATGACGTTCCACTAATTATAGGTGAATTTATTTGCATTTCTGAAACTTGATCTCTGTCTTTGAAAATTTTTACATAAAATCCTAATCCTGCTCCTTGGTGGTTTAGGTTAATTAAAAGACCTGGTAGTGTTTTTTGCTATGGATGTATATGGACATAGAAATTAAATCATCTCTAAATATATGAGCCAGCTGTTGAAATTTTCCAGCATCTGAAACCTCATATTTTCAAAGTCAATAATTTAAATTGTTTTTCCGAAACCTCTATTTCCGTACTGCTTCTCTAGCCATCTCTTTAAAAACAAAATGAGAGGAAAGGTGTATGTTTTTACCTTGGATTGTATTTTCTTTAGAGAGAAAAAACAGTAACTCTGTCATTCAGACCCAAAAGAAGAAAAAAAAGCCCCCTGCCTCACACAGTGTTTTATTGGAAACCGTCTAAAAATAAAGTTTAAATTACAGAAATACACTAAATAATTCAAGTCATTAAAATATACTTTTTTAAAGAAAAGTTTCTAAACTATCAAAAGATTCTTATCTATATAAATACATTTTTTATTTTAACCAGTTGAATTTTTTTAAAGGCACTTCCAAAAGAAGAAGAGTAACAGATGAACGTGAACTGCGTATTCCATTGGAATATGGGTATGCAAAATAAGGTTTTCCTTTTTCTTTTTCCCCCATATATTTATGCATGTTTGAGGTATACTTGATTTCTTATTCTCTACAGTTAATAAAAGAAGTCCATAAGCTGCATAGTATTTGTTAGAGCAGAAGAGCCAGAGCGAAGGGCAAGGAATTTGATTTATCAGAAAACTGAAATTAAGCCTGTTTCCTTGAGGTATGGCAGAGCTGAGGTGGGATGTTGCAGCCAAGTAGGAACATGACTGAAAAAGAACCAAGAGCAAATCAGATGGCAAAGGGCAGGAATACAGTGAGACTGTGAGAAGTTTTTGTGAAGATAGAATTAAAGGACAGTAGAAGCCACTTTGGTCAAAATCGAGAGACACAACCAGAGTTTGGCTAAAATGGTTTAATTAGAAATGACAGCTTTCAGACTGAATGTACATGAACCTCAAGCAGCAGACAGCCAGGTTTACTTTATTCCTAACTTAAAGCTTTTCAGATGTAAAAAATAGTACAGATTGACATGTTACTGAAATGTCAGAATACCCAAAGTAATTAATTATGATTTCTGAAAATGTTGGATTTTAAATATTTATAAATTGAATCAATTTTTTTAGTTGAATTAGCTAAAAATCTAAATAATTGTTTATATATTTGGGTTTTTGGAGGAGTTTATTTTTGTTTTTATTTTTCATGTTTTCTAGAGAACATGTATACTTTAACTTTTTTTTAATTTTTAAAAGCTTTCTTTAGGTATGTCATAACCTTCATTTCTGTTATGTATAGCTGGCAGAGAGAGACAAGAATAAGAAACTTTGGAGGGCGCCTTCAAGGAGAAGTAGCATATTATGCTCCATGTGGAAAGAAACTTAGGCAGTACCCTGAAGTAATAAAGGTACATACTTTTCACCAAATAATGTACATTTGGTGCCTATTAAGCATGATCATGTACAAAAAAAAAAAGTGTACTCCTTTCTCGGATAAAGTTCCTTGATACTTAATATTCTCTTGTATGGGACTATTGTACATAACCTAAATTGATCTCCTATAAATTTATAGCCTCTTGATAGAGTATGCAAAACATTAGTGCCGTGAAGCTAGCAATACATGAAAGCTGGGTTGTAATTATTAAAACCTGAAGTGGAAAAATATGTGATTTTTTCAGTATCTCAGCAGAAATGGAATAATGGATATCTCAAGGGACAATTTCAGCTTCAGTGCAAAAATAAGAGTGGGTGACTTCTATGAAGCCAGAGATGGACCGCAGGTATCCACTTTTTAAAAAGTATAGTCTTTGAACCAAAAAGTAGTACCATAACCAAATGAAGTAAATTTCACTACACTCTGGAACATTGCCTTTCATTAATTAATTCATATGGCTATACATATAACTTTGTGGTAAGCACTCATTAAGGCCTCAGTTTACTATGTTTAACAAGGGGCTTTGACATAATAGGTATCTTTTTCATATTTAAGTAAATTTTTCCTGTTTCAACCTATAACTTTACAGTTTATACAGGTATAAAAGTATCTGGATGTTCATATGAAATATAGGAAAACATTAGTTTCCTGAAAAGTACAGCTAGTTTTAAAAACTAATTTGAATATGAAACCCCTATTATTATAAGTCAATCCAAAAGAGGATATATATGTCCTAGTGTTTTGGAAGAATCTTGTCCATTTGATTATGCTACACTATATGATGCATTTTTACAAGTTTGATAAGTTTTTTTTTGTCATTTCTTAAAATTAGATGAATGAAATTTCTGGTTTTTGCAGAAATTCACTTTTTACATTAATTGGTGCACATTTCAGAACATAGCACCACAGCTCCTTTGAGCTTACGGTATTAAGTACACAACCTCACCAGTCAGCAAAAAAAACCCACCAAGGAGATCTCATTTCCTGTATTTTCCTTTAATGCTTTCCCTTTGTTCCTTAGTTGTATTCAGCTGCATGTGCTTATTACTACCTTTAGCTGCATTGAAAGGGGTCCCAGTTAAGGAGTGATGAGACCTAGATTCTTGTTAATCCACGAAATACTCTTGGATACTCTTGTAATTTTGAACAATAACAAAATAATGCCCCCTTTTCCCTCAATTTTGTTATCTGCCAAATAGAGACGATTATAATTACACTTCTGCCTCATAGGATTATGACAATATTAAAATGAGATCATGTGCATAAAAATGTTTCAAAAAGGCTAAAATGCTCAGCCAGCTGAAGTTGATATTTTCTTTTTTGATTGAACCTCTCTCTCTTCTGTCCCATTGTAATGCATAGAAAAAAAATTTTTGGCAATTAAAATTTTGTGAATAGGCAGGTTTTTCTATCCTATCTTACCCTTTAATTTTACAATTTAGAAATGGAAAAGGTCTTCCTTATTCTGCAAGAGTTTCTTAAAATTAGGCGAATGAGTTTTGAAGCTTAAATGAATTTTTTAGGGTCACACAACATCAACAAGGATGAGACATAACTAGAACTCAAGGTTTCTAAAAAAGTAATCTTTTGCGTAGATCATGTAACCTATTTTCTATTGTAGTCCATGACTTTTAAAGAAAGAATTTATGTCCAGATCTACCTGTCTCTTTATTGGTATTTCTAAAATGCCAAAATGTGTTTTTTTGAGATTTATAGAAATATATAGAAATATATTCTAGGGTTTTCTATTTTTCTTTCTTTTTAAGCAAAAAAAAAATTTGACTTAGACTAAATCTGTCACCAGATTCTTAGAATTGTAGTGAACCACAGTGTTACACATTCTATGTACACTAAATCAGTTTTATAGCCCTAAAACATATTAGAAACTTAAAAAATTTTTTTTTTAATTTTTGGTTCATGTTGTCAGATTCTCACTTGTATTATTTATGCCAAAGATATCTTTATGATTTTAAGTTCACTAGATTTTTGTTCTGAGAGGAAAGCTAATTGCTATTTATCACATAAAGGATTTTTAGTTTTATATCAGTGACAATTAGACCTAATCTAAAAAGCCTCATTACACAGAGTAGCATGTTCTTTGACATCCATTCACTTTTTATTAAATATAATCAGTGTTTTCCAAATGCATATTGTCTTGTTGAGATAAATTCCAATCAAGGAAATAGGATGAATTACTAAAGCCAAATATGTTAAGCCACTAATATTTCAGCAGAGTGCTAGGGGAAAACATTTGTAATTTTCAGAGCATTTGTTTTAGCTAAAACCAAAATTAGTACACAAGATTTCAGGATACTTTTAGAGAACAATTAAAGGTAAGTCATCCAAAAAAGTGTTCTAGTTAATTAATTAGAAATGCATAAAGTTATAAAACCATGTGTATTTCTATATACTGGATTATATGATTCATAGGTATAAGCATATGGTTAACTGGAAATGTATATCATTATATAAGAATTTTCTGTGAAAACCAAGATTACGTATTTTTGTTACAGTAATTATGATGTGAAATAATTTTGATCACCCTAAATTTTGTAGAAGATGTAAAATATAGTGTGGCACAAAGCTACAATGATGATCATATATGTTTACAATAGATCTGCTTTTATGCAAATTGTATAAGTGATTGGATGATGAAACATGTTTAAAAAAATGCATATTAAAAGACTAGAAGAAAATTTGTCAAAACTAATAATGGATGTAATGGTGATAATGGATTTTTTTTTTTTTGCCTTCTACATTTTTTACGTGTTGTATCTTTTCTAATATTTGCTTGTTTTATGTATATAATGTGAAAAACAGGCCAGGTGTGGCTCATGCCTGCAATCTGAGCACTTTGGGAGGCCAAGGTGGGCGGATCATTTAAGGTCAGGAGTTTGAGACCAGCCTAGCCAACGTGGTGAAACCCAGTCTCTACTAAAAATACAAAAATTAGCTGAGCATGGTGGTGGGAACCTATAGTCCCAGCTACTCGAGAGACTGAGGCAGGGAAAACTGCTTGAACCTGGGAGGCAGAGGTTGCAGTGAGCCAAGATTGAGCCACTACACTCCAACCTAGGTGACAGAGTGAGACTTGGTCTTAAAAAAACAACAACAGGAAAAAAATTTCCTGTCGTTTAAAAGTAAATACTTCTATTCTGTGTAATCTAAAAAGGCTGAGAAATCATAGTTTTCCAAATACATGGAAATTGTACAAAATGATCTTAAGTGTTACAACTATAGTTTTCCAAGCTTCATATGTCTATTGGGGTGTCTGATAGCAAATGAAATGCTGTATTGCAGATCCATTAGTATAGTCAGCCCTCCATATCTGTGTTTTCTGCATTTGTGGATTCGACCAATTATGGATTGAAAATACTCAGGAAAAAAAATTGTATCTGTACTCGACATGTGCAGACATTTTTCCTTGTCATGATTCTCTAAAGAGTATAATGTAACAACTATTTAGGTAACATTTATATTGCGTTTGATATTATAGGTAATCTGGAGATGATTTAAAGTATTCAGGAAGGTAGGTATAGGTTATATGCCAATACAGTGTTATTTTTATTCAAGGACTTGAATATCTGCAGATGTTGGTATTCATAGAGGGGGGTCCTGTTTGCCAAGGGACGACTCTATTCTCCTATTAAAACATTTGCCAGGGAAATATAGTTTCTTCATCATTTTTTTCTCTTCGTTTTTTTGTTTTTGTTTTTGAGATGGAGCCTTGCCCTGTCGCCAGGCCAGAGTACAGTGGCACTATCCACTATACCTCCCAGGTTCCAGCGATTCTCCAGCCTCAGCCTCCCTAGTAGCTGGGACTACAGGCACATGCCACCAAGCCCAGTTAATTTTTGTATTTTTAGTAGAGACAGGGTTTCAGTATGTTGGTCAGGATCGTCTCGATCTCTTGACCTCATGATCTGCCAGCCTTGCCCTCCCAAAGTGTTGGTATTACAGGTGTGCGCCACTGTGCCCAGACTTTTTCCCCTTAAAACATATCCCTAAACCCCCAACAATAGTTCTGTATGTTCTAATTTTACTTGACACATTACAAAAATTATATCAGTGGAATTCCAGTTCTCCATATTTTACGTGTAAAATTTAGGAGATAATACTTTCTGCTAGAAGATAATATCTGCAGTACAGAATTTTGGGTTTTTCTCTTGTTTATTGAGAAAATGATTTATTCCTTCCAGAAGTATAATTTACATCTAAGGCCATTAATCTCAACATTAAATACTAAAGAAGTAAAAAAGTTAATTGAAAATAACAAACAAGTCCCCTCACCCCAAAGTCTATACAGCAACCTGTGATAAATCTGAAAGAGAAACAGCAGCCCATCAATATTTTATTTCAGAAAAGATAAAATCATTGTTTCTTACATTTAAGAATTTCTTTGTTTTTAATATTATTTTTTAAAGAAAAAAGCCCGTAATTCAAAAACCCTTTTTTAATAGCCATTCTGACTAGTGTCAGAATGAGATGGTATTTCATTGTGGTTTTGATTTGCATTTCTTTAATGTTTAAAGATGCTGAGCATTTCTGCGTGTATTTGTTGGCTCCATGTATATCTCTTTTTTCAGAAATGTTATTCATGTTCATTTTTTAATGGGGTTATTTTTTGTTTGTTGAATTAAGTTTCTTATAGAATCTAGATATTACACCTTTTTCAGACGTATAGCTTGTGAATATTTGCTCCCATTCTGTAGGTTGTCTGTTGATAGTTTCTTTTGCTGTACAGAAGCTCTAGTTTAATTAGGTCTCAATTGTCAATTTTTATTTTTGTTGCAGTTGCTTTTAGGGACTTAGTAATAAATTATTTGCCAAGGCTGATGTTCAGAATGGCATTTCCTAGTTTTGCTCCGAGGAATTTATAGTTTTAGATCCTCCATTTAAGTCTTTAATCCATGTAGAGTTAATTTTTGTATATGATGAAGGGGTCTACTTTCAATCTTCTGCATATGTCTAGTCAGTTATCCTAGCACCATTTATTGAATAAGGGAGTTCTTTATTGCTTGTTATTGTTGACTTTGTCAAAAATCAGGTGGTCATGGGTGTACAGTCTTATTTCTGGGTTCTCTGTCCTGTTCCATTGGTCTGTGTGTCTGTTTTGGTACCAGTACCATGCTGTTTTGGTTACTGTAGCCTTGTAGTATAGCTGGAAGTCAGGTAAGTGTGATGCCTCCAGCTTTGTTCTTTTAGCTTAGATTGCTTTGGCAATTCGGATTCTTTTGGTTTCATGTGAATTTTATAATAGTTTTTTCTGATTCTGTGAAAAATGACATGGGTGGTTTGATAGGAATAAACTTTGAATCTGTAAATTGCTTTGGGCAATATGGCCAT